GTGACTACTTGTCATTCAAGCTTGTTTCTTTCTCTCCCTCCCTCCCTTCCTCCCTCCCTCTTACTTGGTCCACTGACTACCACAAGGCTAGCAGTTTCTGCCTTGCCACAGATTTAAAAGCAATGCAATTAGCTGACCACCGGCTGACACCTCTGAAGCTGTGAGCCCAAATCAATCTTTCTTTCTTTGATTCTTTCGGGGATTTTGCCTCCACAATGAGGAAGTTAACCAGCGCAGGATGGATGGATGATGGAATAGCGGTGTGGCGCGTTGGGAGGGGCATGGTGCTTGCGTGAGTATTGGGGCTTCTTGGCAGAGCTGCTTTCTAGGTAGGATGTGAGACAGGGAGCAGACTTACGGCTCCCCCAGTCTGGCAGGTGCCCTCGACACCACAGGATCTAAGACCTGTGCAATATCTTTGGTTCCATCCCTTAGCCCCTGTTGGCTTCATGAAGGACGGCGAACTCAGGGAGGTGGTGGAAGGACTGGTGGCTGCAGGTTTCTAGGGAAACCTGTCCTCTGGGAGGCCTATGGCTGTGGCCCCTGTGCATACACTGACTGCTTCCAGTCTTGTTCTTGAAGGGACCCTGAGCTCACCTGTCGGAATAGGGCTGTGGTTCCTGGATGACCCAGGGTGGTTATGGCTGCAGTTTGTGGGCACAGAGATTAGGGATGTGCAACCTCAGAGGAGATGGCAAGGACTCAGACTCCCAGGGTTTGCTGCTTGGTCTCACTCTCGTCTTGGGTGTGTCTCCCACTGGCACCCCAAACCTAAGTTTGGGGGAGCACAACCACGCAACATAGTCGTGGCAGTGGCTGTAGGACAATCTGTCATTGGCCCAGGTTCATAACCCTGGTCTGGCAGGGTAGGTTGGCCCCTTGCTAGCCAGTTCAGTAGCTTGAGCATCCACCAAACCCCAAGAAGGATGATGGTGGTGACTGGCAAAGCAAGCTGAAGTGTCTCAGGCTTGACCCTGGAGCAACTACTTAGCTTAGTGCTCTGTGGGGTTTTAAAGAGTTTGACAGGCTAGCACCCCAATTTAGAAGGCAGGATTACAGACCGAGTGTCAGGTGACAGGCTGCTATGACATGTCCAGAGCGAGTGGACAGCCTGGCACCTGACCCTGGGAGCCGGCGTAGGGCCTGGCTGCCCCTCCCCCCAGCCTGGCTTTCAGTGTAGGAAAGGCTGGCCCTCAGCCTTGTTTATTTTTGGAGCATTTTAACTGGTTCACAAGGAAGTGGGCCTTGTTAAAAGGGATTTAACTGTGGGTCACTGCCAGTTTGAGGGGCTTAAGAGGAAAGAAAGAGAGGGCCTTTTGCCTTCATCCTCCCCAGAGCAGGGCCCCTCTCACAAAAGCAAGGTCCTAGAGCTGGACCTCAATGATTGCCCAGCTGGAGGGAGCTGCTGACAGGGAAGAGCTTAAGTCATTAGTGTGAACAGAGAGAGGGTTTCCCAGCACAAAGAGAGGGCCTTCCCGATCCTAGGGTCTGAGAGGCTGAACAGGGGGATTTCCTTTTCATCACTGCCCTCCACAGGGAGGGCTGACCCTCTGCTCTCTGGAACTTAGGGGCAGCTTGGGACTTAGGAGTCTAGGGCCCACTGAGGGCCCACTCCCTTCTGCTACCTAACTACAGGAATTCCCACACATCTGCAATGAGCCGGGGAGCTGGCTTCTGTGGCCAGTCATATGAAGATGTTACAAACATGGCTTTGATGCAGCCTAGGGCCCTGGAAACAACCTGAGTCCTCACTCACAGTGACCTTTGATGGGTATGCCTCAGCTTGGGGAGTCAACCTGGATGTCTAGGGCGTAGGTGTGCCATCTCTGTCTATCCTCTACTGTGTGATGGAGGAAAAAACCCCTACCTCTTGCTTTTTACCCTCCATCTGTCTACCCATGGGATCCCAGAGGGAACCTCAGTGTTTTGGGATTCCTCTGCCCAGAGGAGGTTGGGTAAAGCTTGGAGGCCTCCCTCTGCTGTGGGTTGGTGTGGGGGCCCATGTTGCCCTCTTGAACGCTGGCAGGTTCCTCCAGCCTTCCTGTTCCAGGAGTGGAGCCCCCAAGGCACCCTTTCTATGGCTCAAGCAGAAAAGATGGCTTCATATCCTCCGCTGGCCTGGTGGGGGAGTTTTATTGCGATGGGAGAAAGCCAAGGAGGTGAGGAGGGGCCCATCAGCTCTACACCAAATAAAATAGAAACAACTAAATAAAGCACCCTTGCGGCTCAGGGGAAAAATTATACTTGTCAATTATGATTTATGAGCGATTGCCAAGCAGGGCGGTGGGCCTGCCCATCTTAGAGGCTGCTTTACTGCCTCCTCCGACTGCAGGGTGAGACTGGGGGTTTGTGGTCTTCTGGGGGAAGGTGGGTCTCCAGTAGCATGAACTGTTAACTCCTTGTATGCAAACTTAGCTCCAGGCTGCTGAAGGGAGGGAGCCACCTTGTGCCCCCAGTTTGGCATGGAGGTGAGAAGGGCTGTGGACAGCAGCCATTGGAGAGGTGCCCGCACCAGACTCTGGCTCCGGTCCCAGTGTGAGCTTGGGACGGCAGCGGGTAAGCTCTCCATCCGTCCTTGCCCTATAAGAATTCCTGACAGAGTTGCCCACCCGTGCCAGCGCCACCTCCCTGTGGAGGGACACCAATTTGTCCTCGCTTGCGACTGCCCGGGCCAGATGGTGGGTATTTCCAGGCCACAAAGTCCTCTGACCTTTGAACAGTTGCCTCCAGATTTCAATAATGGAAGGGCCTCTTTTGAATACGTACAAATGAGACGTTATATTTCCATACATTTTATTTCCAGCCTCATCTGCGAATCTAATATTGACCCGGAGTTATCTGTGATGGGGAAGTTATTAATTCTGACAGATATAAGGGAGAAGCTAATATTCGCCTTTTACAAACACCTAATATTAATCTCGGGTGCTGTAAACGAGCGCGGCACGCCGGCGTGGGGGAGATGACACCAGCTTGGAATTTGATAATGAAAAATGGGGAAGTTTAATTTCAAGGAATGGATAAAAATGTTTGCCTGCTGCGAGGTAAGCAGCCTTGGAGGGCCCCCCGGGCAGAGGGATTCCCAAAGGACAGAGCGTGGCCCAGGGGTGACAGTTGTCTAAAGACTGTGTCCTAAGTGCCTGAGAGTGGCAGACAGGAAATAGGAGCTTCCAAATTCTCAGCAGCTATTCTGCAAAGGGTGTCATAGGGTCGCACCAGGGCAGAGTCTCTCCTGGGACCCAGGGGCACTGCTGTGTCTGTGATCCTAAAAGGGTGTCACTGCCAAGGCCCGATCCTGCCTTGGGCACTCGCCCAGCCATTTTTCCCAGCACTGAACCCATGGACTAAGGGCTGAGATATTCCCCTGTGGCTGTCACCTGGCCAGGGATTGGTCCCCACACCTCAGCAGATAAAGTAGCTTAAAAACCAAGCATGGGGGAGCTATGATGGCTGTCTGTAACTTGGAGGCTGTAGGTCCCCATCCCTGAAGAAGGCCCCATCTCACACCTGCCCTTTGCCCAGTGCCCTGGCCGCCTGGTTGGTGCCCTGGTCGCCTGGTTGGTGCCCTGGCTGCCTGGTTGGTACCCTGGCCGCCTGGTTGGCGCCCTGGCTACTCAGTTTCCAGAACTACTGCTCCCTCAGTACACTCAGATGTCCCTTCCTTCCTGTTTAGCCCTAGGCTTAGCCCAGGCTGGTGGGCTTGTTCCCCTCTCCCTAGCACTGGCTATTAAGCTGAGGGCCTCAACTGTGCTAGCAAACACTACCTCTGAGCGACACTCCCAACTTTTCTGTCATATATTTGAATATTCATGGGTCTGTCCTCCCTTCTTTTCCTCCTCCCACTTCATCAAACTCTAGATTCAGACCTCTTTTGGGGTCTACTACACTGTCACAGGCCGAATTGTGTCCCCCAAATTTAAATGTAGAAATCCTAAAGCCGAGTGCCTCAGACTGTGACCTCATTTGGAAATAAGGTCATCGCAGACATAATTAATTAAGATGAGGTCATGTTGGAATAGTGTGGGTCTCTAATCCGAAATGACTGGTGTCCTATAAAAAGGGGACATTTGGACACAGACACATGCAGGGAAAGAGACAGAATGCCACGCGGAGACAAGAGCAGAGTGATGCTGTGCCCCTGTGAGACAAGGAAGGGGGACCACTGACTGCCAGTAAAAAGCCAGAAGCCAGGACTGGGGCCTTGAGGCATCAGCAGGGGCCAGCCCTGCAGACATACTGAACTTAGACCATTGGTTTTTAAACCTCAGAGACAATGAATGTCTGTGGAGCCTCTAGTGAGTGGTACTCTGCTAAAACTGGGGCAGATACTGCACACATACCTTGTCACCATGGCTACATTCGTCACCATTGCAGTGACATGCTGAGCTGAATGATTGTGTGTGTGTGTGAGTGTGTGTGTGTGTAACTGCGTGTGTGAGTATGTGTAACTGTGTGTGTGCATGTGTGTGTAACTGTGTGGGAGTGTGTGTAACTGTGTGTGTGAGTGTGTGTGTGTGTAACTGTGTGAGTATGTGTAACTGTGTGTGAGTGTGTAACTGTGTGTGTGAGTGTGTATGTAACTGCATGTGTGAGTATGTGTAACTGTGTGTGAGTGAGTAACTGTGTGTGAGTGTATATGTAACTGTGTGTTTGAGTGTGTGTATAACTGTGTGTGTGATTGTATATGTAACTGTGTGTGTGAGTGTATGTGGCCAAAGGACCGTGTCAGCTGTCTTTTCTCTCCAAACCTGGAGCTCACCTAGACTGGTTCTCCCACCTCTGCCACCTCACTGTTGGCATTACAGGTATGCAGCACCGAAGCTGGCTTTTAAATTTTAATGACCTATTTTTGTGTGCTCCTTGAGAATTTCATACAGTGTATTTCAACCATATCTACCCGCCATGTCTCTTTGTAGACTCTTCCAGATCTAGCCACCACATCCCCACCCACCTTCATGTTTGCTATTTAAACAACCCGGTTATTTAAATTTATACAGCCTATGTACTCGTGTGGGGGGGCTGTTTACTGGGGTGTGGTTTACCTACTGGGGTCACAGCTTTAAAGAAAACTAACTCTTCCTCTTCCAGAAGCCATCGTCAATCAACAGCTCTTCACTTAACTTGCTAGCGTATGGACCGGCTTGGTCGTGCATAGGCAATCGCAGCTGTTGTGAGTTCCTGAGAGTCTTGTTCAGGAGACACTCCAGGCATCCCCGACGTCTTGCTCTAACACTCTGTCTGCCCTCTCTCTGCAAGGGTTCCTGAGCCTGGGAAAGCAGAGCCTGACAGAGATGCCCCATTTGTTGCTGGGCACTCCACTGACACTTTGGCCAGTTGTGAGTTTATACATAGACTTCCATTCCCCACACAGAGAAGCTTCTCCACTGAGGTCAGAGTGCTGCGCCAATCTGTGAGTAAAGAGATATGGATTTAGATTATATCCATTTAGCAAAATAGTAGTGGTAGGTGGTTCATCTGTGGAGCCATCCCCAGCCATGGGCTCCTGGCCAGATTTACAACACCGGACATATGTTACATCTAGCTTTTTAAATGTGGGTGGTGGGGATCAAACTCATACTGAAGCTTTCGAGGCAAATGCTTTACTGACTGGCTGTCTCCCAGCCTGGAGCTGAATGGTTTTTTTTTTTTTTTTTTTCCAACCTCCAAGAGGAGAGTGTCTGGAATTGTTATACGTGTCTTACTTTTCCCCAATGCCCGGCACAGTGACAGACTCACCAAATATACCCCAAGAGCACCTACTGGATACAGGGGTGTGAATTTTCTTGCCCTCAGGCCATAGACATCAGAGGGCACTCGCTAAATCTTTCCTGTTTACCCAGGACCATGCTGAAGGATGGGTGTGTGCAGAGACAAACTTTAGCACCCACCCTGATGTGCCCTGACTCCACCTCTCATTTTCCACAGACCCTGTGGGTGCCGAAGTAAAGCCTTCCCAGCAGTCGTTGTTGCTTTTGAGATGAGAGTCTCAAGTATTCCAGGTTGGTCTTTAGCATTCGATTCCCTCCCCTCCACCTCCCGAGTGCTAGGATTATAGGAGTGTGTTGCCATGCCCAACTCAGGAGCTGGGAAATACAGGCAGGACCCTCAGAATGTAGCCCTGGAAGCCCCGCAGCTGGAAGCTTCCACCACTACTGGCCATCACCTATCTTCTGAGGTGCAGCCTCCTCGTGGGTCCAGGTAGAAGCACTGAGCCCACGCACAGGGATGTGTTCTAGCACGCGCAACTCATAAGGCCCTTCTCTCTAGAAGTGTCTGATCTACAGCTGATCGGATGAGCTGGGGCTTCATTCACGGCTGGATGAAGCTGAACTCATGGGTGGCTCTAGTGCCCTGAGGAGGTCTCTTGGATTCTTAAATTTACCCCAAGGTCAGGTTGGCAAATGAGAAAACAGGCCAAGAGATGGAGAGTCACTTATCTCTGGCCACGTGGACTTAGGGTTTGACACTCTTCCAGGAGGAAGGGGCTGAGTAAGCCTGGTGCTCATGGGGCACTCTATGGCTGCTTTCTTTATTCTTTCCCCATCTACCACAAGCTGAATCCGAGCACTGGCTTTCCAGAGGCTGCACCCCACCTTCTTCATGTTCCTTCTTGCTTCCCCTTCTGTCATGTGTGCTCCCTTTCCTCAAACTAGCCCACATTTTTACCCACCATGCATGCACAGTGAGTTTCTGGGTTCCACCTTTGGGATTGTGTGCTCGGAGGACATGAGAGGACACACAATGCATACCTGTACACATGTACCTTGGACACCGTGCGCATCCTGCCTTCAATACATGTAGACCAATGCTTTGTGAGCAGACCCAATACACAGACCTCGTCCCAGGCAAAGCCTGAGGACCCAAAGACCTGAGGCTCTGCAGAGTTCAGGCTATGGTAGTCACTGTATGTCCTTCTGGTCATGTCTGGTTTGTGACACCCCACACTTCCACGTTCTTTGTGTGGTTCATGTGATACAGGGAAGGCAGATGTCCCTTGGGGACTTATAGGCTAGAACCCCTTCAACCCCAGGTTTGGGAATTCTGAGTAAATTGAGATCTCAGCTTGAGCTTCCAACAGGTCCCATTCAAGAGTGTTGGGCCATCTCGCCTGGATCTTACCAAGCACCTTGTGGAAGGATTGTGGGCAGGATCAGCCTTACCCTGGGACACACTCAGGTGGTTCTGTGCCCCTCGAGTGCTTCCTTTCCAGGGACTGAGAGCTTCTCCAATGGGATTGAGCAGTGAGCAGTGACCCAATGGCCTCTGCAGTGACCTCTGTGAGCCTGGGTTGTATTTATTGTCAGAAAGATGACTACGAAATCCCCAACATATCGAATCATCAGCATTATGATCGGGGAAGCAACACCTCCCAAATCTATTATTCATTAAGTGTAACCAATATATAATTTAAAACAGTGGGTTTTGTCAAATAATGTTAGGTCAGCATAATTTTCTGCCTATTACTAATATCTATAACATCTTTGCCTTAGTCAGCTCTATTTAAATATGCAATCATTTACAGCTTTTGAGAATATTTCTGTGCACTCCCAATTTCCAATATTCAACAACGACAAATTTTATGCTGACATCAATAGCAAACTATTAAAGACAGTATTTCATTATTGGTTTTTCATCCCAAAAGTTATTTACAATTATATACTGAGCACTAATATTAAAGGAAGCCATTTAAATGAGGTGCTATCTACTTTAACAGTATGTCTGTCACAGAATGAGATTGTGTTTAAAGATTTTATCAAGAAATGGTTGTTTGCTGAGGTTATGTTTTGTCCATGAAATATGCATTTCATATCTCTTTCATTTCATTAACATAATTTAATTTGTGCTTTGCATTTTGTGCATAATACATATTTGATTTACAAAACAAATATTTCCATTAGAAAATGAATTTCATGCAGGCAAAAAAGCAGAACCAAATGATGTATTGAAGGAAAATAAGAAGAAATGAAATGCATTTTCTCAGTCTATTAAAAAATCTATGGCATTGACAGAAAGTGCACTTAGTGCTACATTTAAAAAATACCACATATGTCAATGTATTAACAAATAGAATTGGAAATACAAATATTTCCCTATATCAAGCCAAGAATCTCTTTATTTTAATTGAGTTGATTTAAAAGCCCAACTACAATTTAATTTTTATTTCATGATGTGGTGCTCGGCTGATGCTGTTGAAGCTGTGTGGGGTTGGCAGTTGATGGAGGAAGATAGTTGACCTTAAAAATGGCTTTTTATTGACAATGGAGAGACATGGTTGAATAGGAAGCAAATGGGAAGCGGCCCTTTGTGATCTGGGGAACTGTGAGGAGCAGGGGCTGCAGGCTCCTGAGCACAGCCCTGCTAGCTTGCTTCTCTGCACCCTACTCAGCCCCACAAGGGGTGGTGAGCTGGAGGGGGAACCTGGGAAGGCAGGATGCTGAGTCTGCACTGACCTCATGGGACATGGGGGCTCTGGAAGTAGGGGACACAGGGTCCCACAGTCTGTGATTCCTGAGGACCTTGCTTCGGGGATTCCAGGAGACCCTTCTTCCTGTTCAGCCCCCAGGAGTTCTTCTCGAACCCAGGAGCATAGTTCTATGTGTGTGTGTGTATGTGGGGGGGGGGGCTGGATTAGCACACCCACAAGCTGGTGTCCTAGTAGCCTTTATTTAAAAGTGACACATAGGGCGGAGAGTGTTGTCTATCATGAGAAGGCGCTAGAAGAAGTACCTGAGATGTCCATGTCACAGACGTGGGGCATGGGCTGAACTGGCCCACCAGCCCAGAACCACGTTTTCCTGGCATCCCCATATCTGGGCAGTCTCCAGCCTCAGCTCAGCTCTGTGGAAACAAGGACTTTGTGGTTGAAGAGTCGTAGAGAAGAGGGCTGCAAAGCCTTCAACTTCATACAGGGAAACTGAGGCCCAGGGCGAATAATTCTGCCTCACGGGGCTGGCTAAGGTTTCTCTATTACCTATCCTGCTTCTGCTCCTATTTCTTGACCGGATGCTCTTTCCTGGACCTCCCTGTGGCTCAGACATGAACCCCACAGAACAAAGGAGTGCTGGCAGCGCCCCGCATGACTCGGTGAGGAAGGATCGTAAGACAGGTCCAGCGTCTTTAGGAAAGATTGGGGGTCCGCTTCTGGCGCGCTGATTGTAGGTTTGTTGAGGAGGGCTGCACAGGGGTCCGCACCAGGCACGCAGAGGGCAGTCTCTGGGGGCCTCTGAGTACAGTCATGGTGTCCAGCTGTACAGGCTGCACACTGAACAACAGCTCTCATGCAGATGAACATGTGAAACACCCCCCTCCGGATACACGCACCTTGAGTTCTTTGGTGCACCAGCCCTGGCTCTGAGCCAGGCCTTTCAGCCATAAAGTCAGTAGTACACCCCGGGCGCCCATGGGTCATCATAAGCTAGGACACATCTACCCCCATGGTCCCACAGTGGTCCTCACACTACACATAAGTTAGCCAAACCTACTCACATGCATTCAGGATACTGCCAGGGCTAGGTGTGTATTGTGCCCCTCTGGTCTACATCCCCGTGGCTATTCTCCTCTCTTTGTCAGAAGGTAACTATTTTGAGTCTGGCCTGGACTTCCTTGCACAAGCCCCTCTTTGCGTCATAGTGTCCCTGCACGCTTGAGAGGCAGGAGGGTAAACCAGCTTGCTTGTGAGAAATGACCCCAGGCCTCCGGGTGTGTAGATCCCAGCAGACGGACGGGGGCTTCCCCTTGCACCTGAATAAGACCTGGGCAGGCTGGGGAACAGGGTCAGTATGTGCCAACAAGTTCTAGACGAGCTGGGTCCGCTGCCCACGCAGGTGAGAGTAAGTGAGCGACTAACAAAATTTCCTCTCGCTCAATCCTGATGGTCTCAGAAGCATTGAAGCTGGTCAGAGGGAGAGAAACAGACACTGAGAAAGCAGACACCGGAAACCCGGTCACCCCCAGTGAAGGAAGGGAAGAAGGAAGTCGAGGTGGGACACTACCCAGCGGAGCTGACACTACATGAGCGATAACTCACAGCTCAGAAATAACCCCAGTCAGGGTTCCTGGCCTGGCTCTTGAGAACACTGTGAGAGGAGGAAGGCAGCTTTCGAAGGTCACGTGGTACCCGTACCACCCCCCCCCCCCCCCGGGGTTTGTGGGAATATGGTCGGTCCGGGAGCCCCTCCCCTGTGAGGGAAAGGAATTCACCTCTTGAGGGTCTGCAGGGGTCTGCTGGGGGTCACCGTGAATTCTCAATGTGTTCAGAAAACATCGGATCAAAGATAGGCTGCCGTTGAGGACTTGGAAACTCGCACCTCTCTGGCCAATGAGGCATCCGTCTCCTGGTCATTCGGTACGGCAGAACGTAAGGTGTCCCCCGCACTGCACTCAGCGTGCTATAGCCAACCGGAGAGCCCGCGGTCGGAAATAACAGGTAGAGTTTGCAGCAGGCCCCAGAACTGTCACGTGCCTCCGCTGCGCTCTACACTTTCATCCAAGCTCCCCTGGCAGCCTCTTTCCACTCTTTGAGCCGTTTTAATTACCTTTTCCCCCCTTTTACCGTTTTTGTGTTTTATTTTAAAATGTACAATTACTAATTTATGTCATTTTTTTTTAAAGCAGAAAAGTAATCTCTAAACATGACAGTCAATAGAGCGCCTTCCCTTCCCAGTTTTTGATTCCTGAGGACCCCCACTTTTAAAGTGTTTAAATCTATTGTCTGGTCCCTGCTTTGGAGGCTCCATGGCTGACTCCCTCAACATCTCCTTGTGAACTTCCTTGGCGACACTCTCTCATCCGCACCATGTCCCATACACTGGGTCCTCATCTCCCTTGGTTTACACCATCATCTTCTTTGCGCACACCTTTCGGTAGCTTTCTGAGAATAGAATCCTGGAAAACTGTCTTTGTCATTTCCCATGGTCCGCCCTTCCTCACCAGATACATGGTTGAACCTGGAATTCTAGGGTGGGTTCATTTTCTCTCCCATAGCCCAGTGTCTTCTGGGTCCCAAGGCGGCTTTTGAGAAACCTCTCTACTGGGAGAGGCATTGAAAAGTAAGCGGATATAGACTGTTCTGCTCTCTGGAAGCTTTAGAGCCCCTCAGTCCCCTCTTACTCCCTTTCTTCCACTCTTACAACGAGGGCTCTTTCAGTTCCCACACTCGGGTCTTTCAGTTCTAGGGTAACTTCCCAGATTACTTCCTTAAAGTGTTTTCTGGATATTTTTCTCAGCCACATAGTTCTAGAATTCCCATTGGTACATTTTCCACCCTCGGACTATCCGGCGAACCCCCCTCCCCTGCTTCTACTTTATTGATTTTTTTCTATTGTTATCTTTCTCTCTCTCTCTCTCTCTCTCTCTCTCTCTCTCTCTCTCTCTCTCCTTTTTTTCTTCTTCCTCTTCCTCCTTCTCCTCCTTCTTCTTCTTCACAGGGTTTCTTTGTAGCTTTGTAGCCTGTCCTGGAACTCACTCTGTAGACCAGGCTGGCGTCAAACTCACAGAGCTTTTCCTGCCTCTGCCTCCTGAGGGCTGGATTAAAGGCATGCGCCATCACCAGCCAGCTTTGTTATTGTTTTCTGTCTGCCTTTTGAAGTATTTCCTTAAAGTGCAGTGGCAATTAAGCCTCAATGAACCGATTCTGAGGGGGATACGCACATCCAAACCACAACACCATCTGTTAAACCCACATCTAGGTCCCTCTTCCTCCTCAGCGCCCTTTCCCCACCCTGTTTGCACAGAGCAACAATGCTGGTGGCTCCTTTCCACGCAGGACTCAGGCTCCCCCAGTGAGGAAGCTGGCTGCCCTGGTAGTGTTGCTAGGTTCTGTGGAGGTCCCTGTCTAGGTCTGGTGTGGGTTGAGCTGGCACATCTCCCTCCTGTAAAGATAATAACACTAAGATCCAACACTAAGGGGCTAGATTGTGTGGAGGCCTCTGTTCAGATTGGCTCTATGAATTGTACTGGAACAACAAAAATCATTAGAAAAATCTTTGTCTCATGTTGTTAATTTAAAAGATTTCGCTTCCGGCCCACCCACCCTCCCTCCCTCAATTCCTCCCTTCCTCCCTCCCTCCTTCATTCTTCCCTCCTTCTGTCCTTTGTTCCCCTCTCTTTCCCTCCTTCCCTTCCTCCCCCTTTTCTCCTCCTCCTCTTTCTCTTTTCTTCCCGACCATTTCTTTTCTCTTTGGCGAATGTTCTCCTTGCCAGTATCTGACTCTTGTTTCCCAGGTTGGAACTGTGTCTTCTCTGGCCTCCCTGGGTCATCACCGTACCATCATGGGCACGCTTCTTGCTTCTGCACTATCCTGGTTCCAGCAGGTCCTCTTTTGACCAGATGTTCTCAGTCATGGGAGTCCTCAGCAGCACCATCTCTTGCACTGAGGGCTAGATCTCTTAAGCAGGAAGTCTGTGGGGAGGGCTGCCAGCTGGACTGTGGCCTGGACCAGGTGGGAGTGCCTGGGAGCTGGCTGCCACCGTTCACTAGGAACTGCCGTGGGTAGTGTCTCTTGATCTCTCTCTCTCTTGGGTTAGCCGCATTTGCCACAGAGAACTCTTCTGATCCTGTGAGGGCAGGAGGTGAGGGGATGAGAGATGTCACTTCTGAGTCCCTGGAGACACTGAGGCTTTCTGTTCCCTTTGAGGCACCCCTGCATCCTCCCTGTTCCCAGGCCTCTGCTCATCTTTTCGGTTTCTTTGGAGAGTGGGGTTCATTTTTGACTGAACTGCATAGAGCTAAAGGATTGTTGGGGCGGTGGGGTTTGGATGAGAACACCCCCTCCTCCCATAATGAATAGTTGTAAGGGTTAGGAAGTGCGGCTTTGTTGGAGGAGGTGTGTTTCTGGGGATGGGTTTTGAGGTCCAGTGTCTCTGTCTCTCTGTCTTTGTCCCCCACCCCCATACACACCCTGTCTGAGGATCAGGATGACTCTCAGCTACTTCTCTAGAACTTTTCCTGCCCGCATGCTGCCATATTCCCTGCCATGACAAAAATGAACTAATGCTCTGAAACTATAAGGCCCACCCCCCCCAACTGCCATGAAATGCTTTCTTTAGGAGGCGCCTTGATCATGGTGTCTCTTCACAGCAATATAACACTGACTAAGACATGGGGTAACTACTGCTCTGAGCTCCAGCTTTGGTTCCATCAACACTCCGTGCTCAGACACACCTGATGCTGGTCCCAGAGCATCCCACGGCATCTTCATAGACTGACCCTGCCCATTCAGCCACGGCTGAGTCACTGCCTCTTGCTCTGTTTCAGCCTATGACTTCCAGTTTCAAAGGCCAGGAGTCCGTCTCAAGGTGTCAACCATGAACACCTGTTTCTCCCTCTCTGTGCTTCAAACATGGCGGTATCCTCGGGAGGCACACTGCCCTCACATAGCTGAAGAACCCATCTCCCAGCCCTTTCACAATAGACCAACCCATTCCTGGGGTCAGAGCCCTCATGACAGCACTACCCACCCGGCCCCAGAGGGGCTGTCTCCCAACAGAACTGCAGTGGGATTAAGCCCCAGTGCACTCATTTTTGGGGGATGCATACATCCAAACCACAGCGCCAGCTGTTAAACCCATGTCAAGATCCCTCCTCCTCCTCAGCATGCTTTCCCCACTGTGTCTGCACAGAAAAAGCACAATGCTGGTGGTTCTTTTTCTACAAAGGACCCAGGATCCCTCCGTGAGGAAGCTGGCTGCCCTGGCCATGTTGCTAGGTTCTGTGGAGGTCCCTGTCTAGGTCTGCTATGGGTTGAGCTGGCACATCGTCCTCCTGTAAAGGTGATGACACTAAGATTGGGAGCCCCTGGGCTTGCCTGTTCTCAGCATGACAGTTCCCTCCTCCTCACACTTGGCCATGCAGGGTGCAAGTTGAGAAGCCAGGATCCCAAACTCCGAAGCTTTCGGGACAGGCTGGGAGTTGTTGGTGGGGTGACAAAAGGGAATGGCGGGGACCATTGTACCACACTGCTAATGCTCCCTCAAGGGATACACACTTTTGAGCTGAGAGTGGGGACACAGCCCTGTGATCTTGGTACTAGGGCAGCTGAAACAGGAAGATTGCTGATTTGAAGCTTGTTTAGGCTACACAGCCATACTATCTCAAACAAAACAGAACAAAACATCAACAACAAAAGGCATACATGTGAGAATCCTGGAACTGCCAAGCAAGCCTAGAGACAGACAGGCCTGCCAGCAGTAGGCTTTGGAAATAGAACGCAGCAAGGGGAAATGTAAGAATCATGAGGCTGGCAGCTTAGGAGACGGGTCTGGGACTGGAGAGATGGAGAGATGTTTCGACAGATAAGTGTTTTCTGCAGACGCTTGAGGACCCAAGGTTGGAGCCCAGCATCCAAGTGAAAAAGGTGGGTGTGGTCATGTGGGCACGCTTATAACCCCGGCACTGTGGGCGGTGGATGTGGGAGAGTTTTCTGAGCATGATGGCCATCAGCCTAGCTCCAGTTTCAGAGAGAGACCCTGTCTCATGAAGATAAGGGAGGGTTGGAGAGCTCACTCAGTGGTTAAGACACTGGCTGCTCTTGCAAAGGACCTGAGTTCAGTTTCCAGTATATACAT